AAATAACCGCTTAAAACTTTAAAGGAAGGTTAAAATAACATAACAGAAACAACAGATGCCACGGATGGGCAAAACTGAAGAAGATTGAAACGGATTGAAAGTAGGGTTTTTGAAAACTGTTCAGCCTAACAGTTTTTCAAAGTTGATTCCTGCTGCTTGCAACTTCAAAAATACTATTTTTGAATACTCAGAAGACATATTTGTTTGTCCGGGATCTCTGATTTTGTCATTTACATGTAATTTCCTTGCTTACTTTAAGTTCTATAGCGATTGAGGGCGAGTAATTAGCAAAATTAAACAAAATGAACTGAACTGCCGTGACACAGCCCCTTTAAGGTTAAGGAGCCTTTTACCACTTCTTATTATTATGAAAGAGATGAAAAGCACACTGAATCAGAGCATTACCTAAGTATAGAGAAGTGCCAAAAAAAGACAGCCCTTTTCTTGTGACTCTTAATTACAGAATGTGTTCTCAGGAGTTTTATGATCAATTTCCTTCCAATCAGGGAACACCTGAGGTAATTTTGCTAGCTTGGCCTCCAGAATGGGAATCACTTGCTTTGCCACAAAATGGTTCCCTTCTTTTGATAGATGGAGACCATCACTCAGGAATGAAGTCCAGTTCTTAAAGAAACAAAACGGTGAAAATGATGGTTAGTTAACAATACAATGAAAATTAAAGGGCGTGAAGATTTTTAAACTTCAGTCCCTTAACCTTAACTTACCGACAATTCTTTGCACTTTCAATATTGTTTCCCCTTCTCTCCTGCCTGGTTCCCACTCATTCTTTCCTGCTTCCCACCCATTCTGCCCTGATTCCACACCACATCTCTCCTGTTTCCCACCCACTTCTGTCCTGATTTCCCACCACATCTCTCCTATTTCCCACCCCTTCTTCCCTGATTCCCACTTCTTCCCTCGTGGTTCCCACCCCTTCTTTCCTGATTCCCACCTCTTCCCTCCTAGTTCCCACCCTTTCTGTCCTGATTCCCCACCACTTCTCTCCTAGTTCCCACCCCTTCTGCCCTGATTCCCTACCACTTCTCTCCTGTTCCCACCCCTTCTGCCCTAATTTCCTACCACTTCTCTTCTTGTTCCCACCCCTTTACCCTGATTCCCACCGCTTCTGCCCTGAATCCCCACCACTTCTCTCCTGGTTCCCACCTCTGTTTCTCCTGTTAGCCTTCTCTTCTTTCCAGGTTTTCCCTTTTTTCTCTTATTTCAATATCTCTTCATTTCTTTCTTTCTTTGTTTCTATAGGAATTCAGCAAATACTGATTTACTGATTTTAGTGAAAAATCCTCCTGTCAATCATTATGACAATAAAATCAATTCAATATCTAACAATTTATATAGACAGCAGGATGTCTTACTGGTTGTGCATGAAATAAAGTGTACAGATCAACAACATCCACTCCAAGTGTTTTTTCCAATTCAGCACATTTTTCAGCAAAAAGTTTTAATCTCTCATTGGACAAGCTCATTTCCCTTCCTGGAGAAAAAAAAATTGAACATTTCTTTAGGTTAACTATTTTTACACTGTCTTAAAAAATGGGTTATTTGAAAGGTTCATTGAAAGGTAAGGTAAAGTAGGCCCCCGGGGGGTGGACTCCGCATATGAAAGGGGTGGGGATGCTCGTTGGAAATTTTGAATTAAACTGCTAAAGGAGAAAGATCTGGGCAAGGCCCAAGCTTTTTTTGACCCCTAAAAGAGACCAAAAAAATATACATATTTATATATTTTTTTGCATGCAACCCTACAAGAGACCTACATGGCTAAATATGGCGTTTTGCCCAAAACACCCTAAGTGATGACCAAAATCCGAAATTTACACCCCTATATGAGACGACAAGCATCCTCACCCCTTTCATATGCGAAGTCCCCCCCCCCCTGGCCCCTGGGGGTAGGCCTTTAAGGGCACCTTTCATCCTGGCAAACCGTAAACTCCAAAGACCCTAGGGAAGACTTGTCAAGAACAAGCCAGCGTGCAAACTCCCCATTTAAGGGAAATCGTAAAAAGTTTGATTTGCACAAGGCAAAAAAAAGGATTAATGCAAGAGCACTTCACTGTCTGCTCCAATGTTCTCTTGCATACTTCACTTGCCACTAAGAGTTGAAAGGATTCTCAGCTTGCATACAGGCTAGCTAAATCACAAGCCCCAATTTGTTTGAAAGGTTGGAAAAACAATATCCATGGGTTAATAACTCACTATCCAGTGGATGAGTGTTAGGAAAACTGATTGCACTATCAACTGGATAGTCAGAGATTTATCCAGTTTAACTTTTAAACAACTGGATCCAGATCAATAAACTCACTCTCAACCTTGAAGTACTAGTTCTAAAACAGCAAATTAACCAGAGCAAAATGGTTTCCTGACATTTTTCGGATCAATACACTAGAAGACACTTAGACAACACTTAGTATCAAGGGGTAAATTTTTTCTCGGGAAATGCTACCCCCACTTTTTAACAAAGGGAGGGGCCACCAGGAAGAACACTTTTCACAGTACATAATTGGTGTCACCCTCCTAGAATAACGGTTATATAACAGGAGAATGTTTCCATACTCGTATAGAGTTAGCAATTCAAATTACCTTGTTCTTTACAGAACTCTGTGTACATATCTATTGATATGGCTGGTGGTGTTAGCAAAACAATTTTACTGGCAGATATCCCATCGTTCGTAAACTGCAATATAGTGTCAGTCATGTTTGTGATATACTGTTCTACAGTCAGACCACGCTGATCTAAGTCTGCCACAACAGAGTCATTAGAACCTAGTAACAAAACAACTGCCGCCACACTTCCTTTAGGATTGTGATCACATTGAAGGATTCTGGGAAGAATCAGCTTGTTGAAGGCCGAGGTATATCCACTAAATCCTCAATTGAGAACATCACATTTCCTGGTAGGGAAAATATTTTCTTCGTCAGTGAGAAAAAAAAAACTACTTTCAAATATGGTAATATCACATGTAATTATTGCCCTGACTGAGTGGGAAGGCAGGACAGGAAAATATTTGGCTTGAGGTCAGGATGAATGGACCGAGCACAGTGAGGTCCATGTGGCCTGAGAGCCCAATATTTTCATGTCCAGCCTGACCTAACCTAGTCAACAAGCATTTTATCATATGATCGTTTGCTTCTGAATTTTTTTGATGGAGCAAACCTGCATCGATCAGTACACATTTCTAGCAGTACCAAATGCATTTTTTCCGGCCCAATCACTTGACGTGTAGGGCCATCATACAGGACTTTAAATCCTAGGGATTTTCAGAATCGCGCGTGTGGCCATTTGGGTCATACGATAATTTGAATCATGAGTTAATAAGGGTTAAAAAGTAACCATTTGATCCCACAAGGTTTCTGTAAGATAATATCATAGTTGATTTTTACTTAAAAAATGGATCAACTACGAAAACTTGGTCACATTTCTATGTGTACAGTTTTGACTTTATCCAGGGGGTGAAGAGACTCATGACTCCAGTGTAAAGTTGACAGAGATGCTTGTCCAACAATAAGAAGTATACCCCTGAAGAAGCATAGCATTGTTACAATAATTAGGACGTTTTGTTGTTCACCAATCACTTGAAGAGAGGTACGTAACAAAGGTCCCTTTCGTAGTCCAAATAGTTTTAACAGCGATTATAATAACTCTTCCCGGGTAAAACAGTGTTGGTCTTGGAACTCCTTTTTGCCACATGATAATGAATTTTTCATGGTTGTTCAAGTTTGAACATTTTGTG